ATACTGGAAATATTTACATGTGCCAATATTCCAAATTGAAACATGGACAAATCACTAAAGATCAATAGAAAACACAAAAAGCAAATAGAAGAGAGTCTATAAAGCCATTAGGAGCAAGAGAAAAATGAAGGAAAGTGTAGGCCCACTATTTAGTGGGGAAGGAGAGCTTCCCCTAATAACAGATGACATCAAGAAGGCTGACAAGTTTAATGCCTATTTTGTTTCATTCTTCATTAAAAGTGTTAATTGTAACCAGATGCTTAGCACAATTATTAAACAAAAGGAGGAAGGCATAGAAGCCAAAACAAGGAAAAGACAAGTTAAAACTATTAAGTAAGATGTGTTCAAGTTGGCAGAGCCTGATACAACTCACCCTAATGTTCTTAAGGAAACAGCTGTAGCAATCTGGGAACAATTCGTGATTTTCTTTGAGAACTGACAGAAGGTGGATGAAGTCCCAGAGGATTTGAGAAAGGAAAACATATTAACTATCTTTAATACAGATTAAAAGGAGGACCTGGGGATTTACAAACCATTTAGCCTAATTTTGCCACTTGGAAAAATACTGACTAGACTTGGTAAGTGATGTACAATGGGAAGGCTTTGGTTTTGTGGAATGTTGATCCACCCCGTTCTGTGCAGAGTGAGTGCTGTATAGCTTGGATGGCCTTTACCCCAGTAAGTGGATCATATCTTCTTGGTGACATGCTAACTAGACTAGTCAGGAAGGAGTTAAATGAGCAATCAGCACAAAGTGAAGATGTTGAGAACAAAATTACTCAAAGAATCATATGACATGAAGAGAAAAAATTCTATACACCAATACTAGTAGCCTAGATAACAAGCAAGAGGAATTGGAATTTCTCTAGTTTGTATTACTGAAACCTGGTCGGATGATTTACTGAATGGAATGTTAAAAAACATGGCTTTAATCTGGAAGGATCCAGGTTAGGCAAAAAGAGTGAGGGAGTAGCATTCTAAAAAAAAAATGACATTAACTGTTTCTGAGTCACTGATAACTCAGAAGAAAGCATCTTGAATGTTTATGGATAAATATCCTAACAGATAAAAAGCTTCAGAGAGGTAGCTGAGTTAGTCTGTAACAGGAAAAACTTAAAAAACAATGAATGGTCTAGTAGCACCTTTAAGACTAACAAAACATGTAGATGGTATCATGAGCTTTCGTGGGCAAAACCCACTTCTTCTGATGACCAGAGGATAATAAGTCCAGATCCAAGAATAAATAAGGGAAGGAGGTAAGGAGGGGTGAAGAAAAAGGAGAGGGGAGGAAGAAAAAAGAGACAGTGAGTAGATAGTTCAACTAGTTACAAGAGGCTGTTAAGAACCATTAGCACCTCCATTGTTCGGTTAAGTCATTAAAAGGTGGAAGATAATATGCCAGCCACCCCTATGTCAGAATATTTGCATAAGAATTAAGCTTGTGAATGGAGTTAAGTTACAATCCTTCTCTGTGTGTTTGGCTTGTGATAAAGTATAAGATGTAGTATTGGTTGGTGTCTGCTACACCACTGCTAAATCACAAAATGGAACAGGTCTCATACTGTTAGTACTACGGTGATAGAAATGTAGCCGTGTTAGTCTGGTGTAGCTGAAGCAAAATATGGTATATATGGTTGTGACTATTTTCTTCCACTATTTGATCTGAGGAAGTGGGTCTGGCCCACGAAAACTCATCATCTAATAAACCATCTTGTTAGTCTTTAAAGTGCTACATAGTCCTGTATTTTGTTAGTACCACAACATCCTTGGAATTTCTAAGCATTATAGATGATTATGTCCTAACTCAAAAAGTGTTGCAGCCAATACTTTATTAGACCTTGCCTTAACTGATGAAGAGGAACTGATCACAAAACTAAATATTAATGGTAGTTCACGTACAAGTGATCACGACTTGTTCACATTTATAATGTGCTACAAGAAAAAAAAGTCCAGACGAGCAATATATACACAAATACACACATATTTGGTACTTTACTTAAAGAACAATTGGACAAAATTAGAACAGTTACAAGTCAAATCAGCTATAAAAGTCAGAAAATTGTGCTTGATAATTGGGAATCAGTTGAGAGAATCTTACTGGATGCCCCAAAAGCCACAATCAGCCACAAACCAGCCATGCTAGTTAAAAAAAACCAACCTGGTTCAGAGAGGAAGTGAAGGGAGATATAAAATATATATTATTTAGAACCTAAGAAAGAAGCAGTTGAGAGTAATGAGTATAAAATAGAAGTTAGTTAGATAAAAGAAGCAAAGGGACACAAGCACAAATCTAGGACTAGAAAGGCAAAGAACAATAAGAAGTTTTTTAAAAAATATATTAGGAACAAAAAGAATTCTAACAATGGCATTGATCCATTGGCTCAATAAAAATGGTAGAATTATCCATAAAAAAGCTAATGATTTGCCCATTTTTTTTAAAAAGGATGACCTGGGAAATTACATCCTTTCAGCCTCTCAATCCCAAACAAGAGATACAGTACTTGATCAATCAATAATTAAAGGAGAGTAATGTAATTAATGGAAATTAAAATGGCTCTCACATGATATTTTGATTAAAGAAACTAGAACATTAACATACCACACTTTAAATGAATTAAAACAGACTAATGTGTGTGTTTCAGAATTTAACTGTAAACAGAGAATCTTCAATAAGCACGTATTTTTTTCCTAGTGGGGGGTCCAGCAGGGATCATTTCTTGATCTAAACTATTTATCGTATTATCAATGACCTGGAAGACAACAACAACATTTTCAGGTGACACCAACGCTGGGTAAAATAATGAACAGAAAATATTTCTGGTTCATAGTGACCTTGATCACTTGGTTAACTGGGCACAAGCAAACAATATGTGTTTTAACCAGCTCAATATAAATGTTTATACATAGGAACAAAGAATGTAGCCCATATTTGGAAAATGTATCTATCCTGGAAAGCAATGACTTCAAAAAATATTTTGGGGTTGTGGTGGACAATCAGCAGAATATGAGTTCCCATGGTCCTGGAATGCATGGTTACACATACACCCTCCCCTTCCCTGCCACACTGCTGCCTCATTATTAGAGGCTGCAGTGCAGGGGATGGGGAGGGAAGTGGGAGTCGGTGCTCATGGGGAGTTGGGTTTTAAGCCAGCTCACGACACAGCCACCTGCCCACAGAGGCAGCAGCAGCAGGGAGGTGCAAGTACTTGCTCTTGTGGAGCTGCTTGCCCTCCTGAGCTGCTGTCTTTGAGAAAGAGGCAACACCATGGGGGAGAGGAAGCAGGCAATAGCCAAGTCCCTCCCCCGCCCTCTGTTGCCTCTGTATCAGAGGCAGCAGCATGGGGTGCAGGGTGGGCAGGATGAAGCCAGTACATGGTAGCCGGTTTAAAAGCTGGTTCCTTGCAAGAACCATCTCTCGCCTCCTCCCCACCACGTGTAAACAGGTAATTACTGAAAAATTTACACAGCTACAAGTTTACACAAATAAACATATTTTAATATCCCTAGTATTCACAGCTTAGCAGAAAGAAATAAAAGTCCTGTGATACAAGATAAATATCCTAGGCTACCAGGTGAAGAAAAGGGTGGATTCAGGTTCAGAAATCTGACTTCTTTCTGAAAAGAGGAGAGATGGATGGTTTTGAAAAATAGTCAGGAGTTCTGATGCTAAGTTCAAGTGACAAAAAAACTAAAGAATCGTTTCCAAGCTATATCGCTGTCTTGATGAATTTTCTCAAAGCCTGGAGGGAAAGCAAACAAGAATGAGTTTCTCCAAAAGAAATGTATCATTTGAAATGAAGGGCTTGAGTATGCTTTGAAAAAAAAAGAGAGAAAAGGTAATTTATAAACAAAGAAAAAAACAACCCACAAAGATCAACCATCTGCTTAAGAAATAACTACCAAGAAGCCTTAAGCAAATATATTTAAAACTTCTCTGGAAATCAAGAAGATATTGATGGACTGAACAAAAATCAATGAAATCAACACCAATACTGTGGGGGATACAGGAAACACACACGTACTGTGGGGGATACAGGAAACACTAACCAAAGACAAGAAAGAAGTCAGATGCTATTAAGGCACTCAGGAGATCTGGGTTCTATTCCTGCCTCTATTACATACTTCCTGTCTAACCTTGGACAAGTTATTCTATATCTCTGGGCTACAGTTTCCTATGACTAAAATAAGTGTAATAATTATTATTTCCCCCATTCTTTTCTGAATTGTCTATTTAAAATAACACACTCCTTTGGGCAGGTACTATTTCTTGCTACATGTGTGTAGAGTGACTATCCCAATGGGGCCTCTGTTTGAGTTGCATAACTATAGATTATGGTAATTCAAATAAATGAATAATAAATCACTGGTATTTCTAGGTCTTAAAGCCCAAGCCATTTTGAACAATAAATTACTTCTGAAAATACCTGACAATCCTAATAATCCTAATAATTCATGGCTTTTCAAAAGCTAATCTCCTTGGGGCAGGATCTAGATAGGATCCTGATGGTGACTAGACTTCAAACAATACTAATGAAATCCAAATATTAAATAATAATATACAATTAAGGACAATTCTATATCCATTAATATTTGCACCCAAACCAAAACCTAATAATCAGGCTTTAGCTTACAATTCCAATATATTTTTAATAAAATAAAATAAATGTAAATAAATGAAAACCATAATATACTTATATTAAAATTATTGCATGCGTTCTCTGCTAGGATAATATAAGCAGCTTTTGGAAACATATTTCCAAAGGTTATAATGATATTACTTAATATTTACAGTTTAAGGTTGCAATATAGAAAAGCACGGAAGTACAAGCTTAAATTAATCTCTGTTCCTGCACAAATGCGGACTTGGGGCATGCATCATTACTAGTAAATTCATTCACACAATTTATTAATGTTTTCATGGTTTATTTAGATGGAAAAAAATCTAGGCATTACTATGACTAAGCATCTCAGAATTCAATATAATATATTAACTATCTTACCAGCAGTAATCCAGCAGGTGTGGAGGAAGCACTGGGATGTATATGTGTTGCCAATACATTGGATATAACAATGCAGCTGACCCATGAACACAAGCTGTTAACTAAAAATAAAAATATATACACAGAATTGACAACAAAAAATTAACACAAAATACAAAATTTAAAACAAAATGTTTATGCCTTTAAAGTCTCAATTACATGAAAAAATGTTTAAATGTAGCATTGTTAACATTATTTTCAAATGTTAAGATGTCTGAGTTCAGGGCCAGAACAGAGAACAAAATCATCTAATTTGACCTCCGAAATATCACAGAACACTAACAGCACCCAGTACCCCCATGCTAAATCTAATAATGATAATTAGACCTAAGTATTATAGACCATCATCACCTTTGTACACTCATAGTATTTAAGGCCAGCCATGATCACCTAGTCTGATCTCCTGCACACATCAGACCACAGACCTTCATCCACCCTCTCCGTAGTAAGCCCTTAACCTCTGGCTGGGCTACTGATATCCACAAATTTTGATTTAAAGACTTTTAGTATACACGCATTTACAAAACGAGGAGCTGGCACAATCTGAAAAAGATGCTCCTAATAGTTTTTCCTCCTTAACCACGCTCCCTCCAAAAGGAAAAAGAAAAAAAAGGGGGCCCTGAGCAAACAGCTGTACATGCAGCATGCCTGCTAAGTCAACATACTCAGATATGTCAGTGTAACATCAGAAATGAACCCTACTATTTATTTTTTTCTATTCTTTTAAAATCCCCATTAATAAGACAGTGAAGGATAGCTATCCAATAGCATACCAAGCCAACTGCATGCCCCAAAACTGAAATAGTTTTCCAGCCAAAAATAAGAGCCAAATACCCTCAAATTCCTGCAAATCAACCCCGGTAATCTTTTAAGACCTAAGCCACAAAAAGGAAGCTCTCTCTGTTTCAGTAACTCAATGTCACATCATGATCAAAGGTATCAAACATTGAAGACACATTGGGTATCATCATCACGAACATTTGACACTCAAGTGAACTTGCACTACATTTCATTCATCAGAAAAGGAGCATAAGTAACTTTCCAACACTATTCCTCAAGGCTCAATTAAATTCTCTTTTGTCTTTCTCTGTCCTATTCTCTAAACACAGCTGGAAAAAAAAGAGTACAGTAAATCAGGATACTCCAGATGATATCAGAGTAGCTTTATCACATAACGCCTCCCAAAAACACATGGTTAGAGACAACACAGAAGTTGATAAAAGATGCTTTGTTGACCAGTAAGTGAACAACCTCTTGTCTGAGACAAGGTAGCCTGTAATGAGATGTTAATCTCCACGCATAGTGGTCCCAACAGCCCAGTTTGGTTTACCGTTCATGACTTATGGGCTGTATGGCATAGATCCTTAACTGGAGAACATGCCTTTACACACAACTGTGAACAATACTATTTGAAACAAGCAATGATTGCTCTGCTTTGCTCTCCCATACATGGCTCTCCTACCATGAAGGCAGATAAAGTGGACTAAATCAGATTGATTTTATTAATAAAAACGGCAGAAAATTGCACAAATAAGAAAATATTACATTTCCAAACAGAGGTAGCCCAGATCCAGCACTTGACATCCCCAAGGTCACAACCCTATCAATATGAAGTTCTCAGATGCCAAAATGGAGTAAAAGAAAGGAAAAAGGGGAGCATTTTTCCTATGCATAGGATTTCACAAATTCAAAATTCATAGTATTCAACATTTTATCTTTCCATTTCTTCTACTGGTACTACAGTGCCCCCTTCCCCCGCACTTGTTTTGTCTCACAATCTTGTAATGCTCTTCTAACAGAATGGGATTTAAGAAGCCACCTTGTTTATGGGAGAAGACAAAAGATGGTTATAAAGTCTTATTAGGTCATCAATAAAGTGACTACCCAATATTGACTTAATTACTACTGGTCTTTATTAAGCATGCACTCTACTGTAGCAAAAGAAAGAGCTAAAAAAGTGAATCCTGCTAGTACAGTGCTGAAATATTATGGATTTTCTCTTCATGGAACAAAGAAGCAATTAAAGCTTTAGCATCTTGGCTATCTTGGACAGTTATACTTGTTTATAAAAATTACAGAACAATTTTGCATATACATTTTTATAATAAAAATGGGAAAAAATGATAAAGATCACCTCAGCAGCAATCACAGACAATTACAATTTGCGCAGCACAGTTTTCTCATCACTCGGATTAATATAATACGATTAAATATGGGAAAAGAGAGGGCCTGAAAGCTCCTGAGGGATATCATTAGGGCAAATTGCCAAAGAATGAAACATGAGCCAGTCAGGAGAGTCTGGAAACTGCAGAAATACCAAGGGACTTGAATGTTCGACAGTTGGAGCTTCAGTAATGTGTGAACTGCAGGTTACGGTATCAAGAGACTCTGTTCACTGACACATAGAATGTCACTATTGACCATCGAACTGCCCAAGCTTGACAGCTGTACTACAGGAAGCCAAGTATATCATAATTCCATATTTAAACTGTTCATTTCAGATTAACATTTTGTTTCTTAGCTTTATGTCAAACTATTACAACTGTACTGTTTTGGGCATTAAAGAAATGTCCCGTTTAATAATTATTGCTTGCTACAAAGAGTTAATTATTTATTTCTCTTTTGGCAAATGAACACCCACCTGGCCTTTCTCTTTTGCTTTCATTATTATCTGTTGGATTTATCTGGGATTGCTTTCATTTACACCTTAAATACTATTCTTGAAGCAGCTACACAATGAATTCAGTACTGTATTTAAGTATTTTATATAAAACAGATGTGTATTCACAAATTACAATATTTATACTGTATTATGTTATATTTTGTACTTCAAGCCAAACTGTCCATATAAAAATTACTGTTGCAGACATTTTAATTACAGACTGTAATAAAGCAAAGCAAAGTGCTAGTTAGAAGATTCCCAAGATTTAGATGAAGGTATTTCCCTGAAGATAAATCTCTCTCTTTATCCTGTTAATGAAGTTGTGTTATTCAGGATTCTAAAATTGTCTATCTTACATTTACATGCACAAAAATGATGCACACAAGTATTTCTATTTAGCAAAAACATGAAAAGTATGTATTATGTTTTGGTCCATGGTCATTACCAAAGCAATCTAGAAAAGAAATAATTACAATGAACAAGGTATTTAAAGTTTTATAACTGGTCTTTACTACTTTGCAATCCACATTTTGGGCTGGCATTCAGAAGATAAAAATGTCAAATTAAAGCAAAATATGGCAACATTACTCTTTTCTAGGAGTGAAAGTGTGAACTTAACTCTCTTATTCAAGAACAAAGCCCATTATATTTCTCCTTATATTTTGTAGTTAAATACACCAAATGTATTGTTTTATATTTCTATCTTAAAAAAGAATAAGTATGTTTATAAAAATATCACTGAGAGGTGTATAAATATTTAGTGACTGTTTTTATTTCTCATGAAATTTGGTGATTTAAGCATATAAGTGAAAAAAATACGCTTCAGCTGAATGACACTGAATTCTGGTTCAATTCTACATTACAACATTTGCAAAGTGATAATTGTGGTCTTTGTATCATGAAAGGATTTTGGTCTTTTATCTTCATATTTTAGTTTGCTTTTGGTTTACCTTGTAATTATATATTTTCTTTAAAAATGCAACCAGAATGTGTTTTCCCAAATGCATTATCCATCAAAATAACTACATCTCAATATTTGTAATATTCCCCCTGCTTGGTATAGCAAAATATAGGTAATTCTGTAGATTCTGGGATAACATTATCTTTAGATTTAAATAACCAGATATTTAAGGAAAAAATGAAAAGTATGTAAGATATATGACTTTGCATATGACTGTACTCATCTATATGACCTCTTATGAGCCAGCAGTTTATAAGTCCACCATTTACGTAGTGGGATAGAAGAGAAATCTCTGGACACCTGACTCTAAGTTCTAGTGGTGCCTGCTAAGAGAGCGAGGAATTAGTTATCCAAGAGTTGCTGCTCACAGGACTGCAAGGAATGGTAATATATGACCACCAGAGTGCAGTATTTAGCATGCTGTGGGCAGAGTGGTAAAGAAGGCATGGGGCAGAAAGTGGAGTCTGATGGTGCAGATGCAAATCAAAGTGGTACATGAAAAATGACTGTGGATGAAAGAAGTAGAGAGCAATGTCGTTTATGAGAGTCCCTGGCAGAATGCTGGCTAGGTTTTGCTGTCAGCATTTAACTGGAAACTGCATCCAGAGTGAATTCCATTTCAACATAAATGAATAAGAATTAAAAAAGAGTATGGTTCAGATATTTTTCAGAGCAAATAGCATCTTGAGTAAATTGCCTTGGAGTTGTCTTCAGGGATGTGTGTGGCTCGTCCTATCCATTCTGTCAGCTGCTACTGGAGATTACATTAACTGCAAAATCTGTCAATTTCTTCAGAATTATATCCATAAATCTGATTTTAAAATGATACATCATACAAAGTCATTTAAGAGCCACCACACTTAAAAGCTTCCCTATTAAACATGTTGGATAGCAGAGAGGATTACCTCGTTTCAGAGTCAGAACTGTCCACAGTGCAAGATATAAAAACTGGTATTCCCTTTCCTGCAAAAACTTTTGGCTTATACCTTGTCCTACTGGAACATCAGAAGTTTTATAGGCACAGAATTAGATGCTTTTCAAGTACATGGAGAAAGTTTGAACTTTGCTAGACTTGACCAGTATTTGATTTTCTAGGCCTTCAAAGATGTGAGAAAACAGCTACAAAAATACCTGGACAAAAATGTTTTTGCAACTGTTGTATAATGACCAGAGGAGGGCAGATATGGTGATCAGAACAGCTCTAACACCATTGGGGCAGCAGAGGGCAGGGTTGGAGAAAAGGACAGCTATTTCTTCTGTATTTGAGTTTGTGTATGTGTGTTTGTCTGTGTCTCCCTGGCCTGTGCCCAGTAGGTGCTTCTCACCTGGCCCAAGCTGTTGCTATGACAGAGGGCTGGGGGTAGTCCTCTCTCCCTGTCCCACTCCAAGGCAATGACTTAAAATGAAGAAAAACAAAAATTATTTCTGTTAAAAACCCA